AGTATAAGCAGTATCTGTATTGTACGATATCATTATTTTATGTGCATGTAGAGGCCTTTTGCAAAATAGTGTTACTTACACTGTACAACCAAGAAACCACGATCGGATTCTGCATTATTGAGGCTGTTCTTAGCTCTACATTGGTAAGTCCCCGCTTCATCTCTCGTCAAATTATTTATCGTTAAAGATGCCACGCTACTGCTTGCTGAAGAAGGGCCACTAACACTGTACTTGTCGCTATCACTTGTGTTGATCTTTACATCGCTGTACCGCCATGTTATGTCTGGGATTGGATAGCCCGACACTGTGCACGTGAAAGTCACAGATTGACTCTCGTTCTTGGTAACATTCTGTGGCGAAGCTTCGATCGATGGTGGATCTGCAGTAAGATAAGGTACAATTTGATCTAACGACTAACGTACATGTTGACATCGCTGTGCATGCAACTCAAATAAAACATTAAGAGAAGGGATTCAGTGGCGGATACAGGATTTTCTTAAGTGAGGGGTGCGGGGCTCTAAAGAGGGAGTGCACCCCACAAAAATCATTACATGAAGATACAAAATAAGGAAAGTATTAATCATCAAGCAAATTTTCCAGGCAATCATTCTAGATCAACTTGATATATTATAGGATATTACCTATCCTGCCCCCCTCTCGCATGATGTTTAAAGTTAGGAGTATGGTCACGTGACAACTGTCAGTCGCCACGCCCACTTGCATACTTCATTATTTTGAAGTCTACTCTTATGAGAAAGTTTTAATATGCACATAACGTCGTATTGTGGAAATATTATCGCGTTAAAATTTAAGTCCCTGATAAAAAACCAGTGTCAATACTTACAGTGAACATCAACAGTAACTTCAGAAGAATTTTTTGTGCCAGCGTTATTTGAAGCTCTACAGGAATATTTGCCTTTATCATCGCGTTTCATGTTATTGAATATTAGTTGGCTTGTAATGCTTGTTAGATTTGTTGTTACATTAGGCGCTAGTGATCCAAAGGGCTGACTATTACGATACCAGGAAATACTTGGGACTGGTTCGCCCTCGGCTATGCAAGCGAGAGTAAACTTGCTGTTTTCTACAGGTACGCCTGAAGATGGCTGCTTTGTAAGCATTGGCTGATCTAGAACTGACAATTTATAAACAACAAATGTTGATATACATGTCAGCTATAGCATTATTGTTGTCCAGTGTGCAAGAATAGAATTATCTCTTGTTATTATTAATTTATGCAACATCAATCATTCTAGATCAATTGATATATGTAATATAATATCACCCCTCATGCCCTCCTCTCGGATGATACTTACAGTTAGGACTAGGGTCAAGTGACAACTTTCAGCCGTCACGCCCATCTTTCTATCTCATWATTTTAAACACTGCTCATGAGAAAGTTTCAATTTGATACGCACAAAACGTCGTATTGCGGAAATATTATCGCGTTAAAATTTATGTCCGTGATGAAAAACCAGTGTCAATACTTACAGTGAACATTAACAGTAACTTCAGAAGAATTTTTTATGCCAGCGATATTAGAAGCTCTACAGGAATATTGGCCTTTATCATCGCGTTTTATGTTACTGAATATTAGTTGGCTTGTAATGGTTGTTAGATTTGTTGTTACATTAGGCGCTAGCGATCCAAAGGGTTGACTATCACGATACCAGGAAATACTTGGGACTGGTTCGCCCTCAGCTATGCAAGTGAGGGTGAACTTGCTGTTTTCTACAGGTACGACTGAAGATGGCTGCTTTGTGAGCATTGGCTGATCCAAAACTGATAATTTATAAATAAAAGATGTTGATTTACATGTTAGCTATAGCATTATTATCATGATCTAGTATGCAAGAATAGAATTATTTCTTATNTTTCACACCTACAGACAATTGTTCACAGGTATCTATCATTGCACGCTCAACGGTCGTCTCGCTTCGATGCAAAGGCACGGCTACCTTTCAAGATGGCGCAGGGAACCGTGAAGGAGACTATTGTGCTTATTCTCCTGATCATGTGATGAAGATTTGACTGCAAAGCCAGCTATTCCGTTACTATAGAATTACCTTCTTGAATACTGCTGATGTCTATATTTAATCCATCAAGGCTCCCTCCTTGACTGCATACGACTGCTTTGAATGGTGACAATGGCGCWGAGACATTAGCAATTAATGTGAGCTGAAACTCCACAACTACACTTCCTGGCCTATTAAAATTAACCATCAAGATTATGAGATAACAAAACCTGCATGAAGGTGAGCCAAGAGAAAATAATTTTAGTAAAGTATTTACTCAGYGTTATACTTACCAAAAAGCTACTACATCTACAGATGTAACGTACTTGTGRGACGCATACGATTGCTTGAGCTGAAATAAAAATTTTGGATTAATGAATTTTCAGCTTACTTAAGGGGATTTGCTGAGGGTAGCTACTTTTAAAAGATCAAATGCCATTTTTCATCGAAATGTTTTCTGAATTCTTTTTATTTTTTTTAGACGACAATGACGAATATATAATTTCTGCAAAAAGTTACTCATAAAACTAAAATKTTAAGTTTTCTTTTTCGACAAAACAAAGCAAAGCCCTGATAGACTGATAAYGACAGACAAATATAACAACGATTCCTTGTAGAGTTTCTGCGGTACTGACTGTATTACCACTTTTTCTGTCTTGTTTTTATAATCTTTGAACACTKTAGTCTTGGGATCGGCTAATCCTGGCWMGTATTTACAGCTGCTACACTTRAATGTGCCCATCACCACTTTTTCGGCAACTGTCACGTGTAAAAAAAAAAMMAAAAACAAACTAGAGTGAAACAAATGAGTACTAAATTATGCTAATCCCTTTGTTTTCTATTGTCGAACCAACACTT